CGTGTTTTCTATCCTAGAAGAAACACTGCAGCATTATAGTATATAAGCCTTTCTTATGTTGATAAGTTTATATTATTGGCTATTTTATGAATCAGCATGATTAAAAGCTAGACAATAAGCATCCCATACCATTACTGCATTTTAATTGTGATTTTTATCTACTTGAGCATTATCATTAGAACAAAGTGAGTGCCCAGAGTTTGAGAATTGAACAATGGCAGCTTTAACATGCTTCACACAAACACACTAAGCCACATAGAAGCCAATCCCATTTCAATCCATGACTCTTCCTTGTTGCTCCTTATTGGGGCAGACACATTTCTCAGTGATCATATTTTAAATAGAGATATAGATATAAAATGTCCTCATGATACAGGTAGTCCTTGACTGAAGTTACAACAGCACTGAAAAAAGTGACTTATAACTATTTTTCATATTTATGTTCATTGCAGCATCTCCATGGTCACATGACCAAAATTCAGACACTTGGCAACCGATTCGTATTTATGACGGTTGCAGTGTCCGGGGTCATGTGATATCCTTTAGTGACCTTCTGACAAGCAAAGTCAATGGGGAAGCCAGATTCAATTAACAACCATGTTACTAACTTAACAACTATAGCGAGTCACTTAACAACTATGGCAAAACAGGTTTAAAAGGGGGCAAAACTCACTTAACTGTTTTGCTTAACAACACAAATTTTGGGTTCAATTGTGGTCATAAGTCAAGGACTACCTGTATTACCTTTATCTCAGTGCCAGCCCAGAACTGAAGCACATATACATCTTTAGTTGTTTCAAATCTTTTCCCTGCTAATTTAGATACGGTTTTTGCCATGGATGTGATGCTTCACTGATGGTATGATTTCCAGTGAGATAGAGGCAAGTGTTACCAGCTCTTATTGGCCACCTTTAGGTGCTGCAGGCATGCCTTTTCATGGCTATTTTAGCTTGAATTGCAGGAAGAACCGGTCATTTGTCTTCCTCAGATGTTTGCTTCCGGAAAATGCCCAATTGGTGTTTTTCGAAGCCCTTCTCAATCTTGGAAATGCAACTTTCCTTCAGTCATCCTTCATGAGAGTTATGAAAATTATACCCTAGGCATACGAAAAATACCAGGCTGGGGAAAGCTGATCTCCTGAGATTTAAATGTGTTCCTCAAACAACACAAAGAAATCTTTTGTTAGAGTAATTGCTCTTTGGGGAGGTTTGGAAGAGTTACCTATTACTATTGCTTGCTCTAATGAATAAATAAATATTCATTGATTCATTTATTTCTATCCCAACATAATCTCAATATTGAAAGAACAATAGAGCATTCCAGGATACAAACATTCCAACCTTGATTTTTTAAAAAGAAAAAGAAAAAAGGATAAGAAAAGGTAAATGTAGCATCTATCAGTAAAAAGTTCCCTTTTATAGGCTAAAAGTTTACTTTTACAGGGTAAAAGTTCAACAGACGTTTTTCTTGTCACACTTCCTGCTTGGTATTCTGGGAAGTACCTCACGAGGCTTGAGAAAAACATGCATCTGATGCTGCCCTCTTGTGTGTGATATAGGTTCAACTCTTGCAAATTATTGGTGTCGTGAGCAGGTGCAATACAATGATTGTGGCTAACAGAATGCAGCACGTTTTCCCCATAATTTGGAAAAAATAATGTGATCTGTTTCACTTCAGTTTCTACGGCTGATGCATCCGGATTTAAGGCTAGGCTTTAAAAACTGCAAACTAGTAAAGATTATTTGAATACTGTATAGATTCAGGCATAGTACACTTACTCCTTACTTGGTGACCAAGTTCCATTCCAACAATCAGGTGGTTAATAGAAATGGCCACTAAGTGAACATGTGACTGACAGAGAGAGATGCCGCGAAGATCATAGATTGCTGCTGTCTTGCCCAAGAAAAAGTTCTGTGGTACAGCTATGCCATGGTTACTCTCAATCCAGTATGAATTTTTGTCAAGAGCATGAAATTTGATCATAAATGCACACATTGGTTGGAAAATGAATTTTATTACCATTCATTACATCCTCAACTTGCAATCATTGTGTTGGAATATTTTATTCCTTACCCAGTTCATCCTGAGTCAGGTTAATAAAAAACACCAGGCAGCTACATGAAATTAAGTTCTTTATTTTTCACCTAAGGACAATGATAGCAAGCTGCTAGGTGGGCTGCTGCAAAGGCTCCATCCATCCAGCATAGGTTATATACATTTAAATCAGTCTCTCCTACAGAATACAAAACCCCTTTCCCAGTCATTCATTTCCTTCCACACATCATTCCATATAAGGAACTTCTTTTCTTGCCAGGGCTTCTAAAGGTTTTTTCATCTCCAAGGAGAAACTATCCTTGGAATATACTGTACACCTTATCTTTCCTTAGAATGTATATCTTATCTCAATCCACTGGATAAACTACTTTAAAGGTTTGTGAACAATGAAATGTGAGAAGCCTTACAAATCTTAAAAGTAAAATAAAAGGAGACATGGTGTCTGAGCCTTAATAAAAGTGTAACTGCTCAAATAAAACATTCTAATACTATATAATAAGTCATGTTCTAATAGTTCAAAGTTACAACTGAGCTAATTATGACCTGATTTTGAAGTTATGGTCACTCCAGCAGCCCTGAGATTCTTCACCCTTTCGACTGATCCCAGGTACGTTGCAATGTACTGCCCTTCCTATCTTCCCCCATCCCACTCCTCAGCATCATCAGAGGCTTTGGGCCTGCTTCCCTCCCGCCTGGTCCCTGAAGGCCTTGGATCTGTTTCTCACCCCAATGGTTCCCACACACTCCTCCTCCCCCCCCCCCCAGTAACTGATTGCACCCTTACCTTTAGAAGTTCTCCAGAACTTCACAATCTCCAGGAGACTGTGTTAAGGAAACAGAGCACACTACCCCATCCTTAGGCCATCTGACTTTGTCCCAGAAGCGGATGCCATTTTCAGAGTGGTCATAATAAATTGTGTCTGCTCCAAAAATGTTATCTGCTCCCAGGAGGCAGTCATGCAGCCCAGGGAGGCCAAGAGACATAGCAGCCTGGGAATAAAGTCAGGAGAATGTCAAAGAGGCAATGATGTCTAATTTGTAGAATCCAGTTCAAATCCTGCTGGACTTTTCCTTTCATGCTACTTTTGGGGTAAATAGGTAAAAGTTCCAAATAGCAAAGAATTATGATATAATTCTCTGAATTATTACAAACCAGTGAGAAAATGGCCCTTTTCTCCAAAAGGGTGCAATTTCTTTAAATATCTGCTACAAAATAACCAGCAATATCTCATTACAGCATACATAAATCTCTAATGGCCAAATAAACAGTTTATCTAGATGCCATGCAAAACTTGTGTGATTGACACCATGTAGACATACTGAAATGAGATATTATATGCAAAAGACTACTTTCACTGCATTCTTTATGGTTGCAATGCTTTGTATTTTGATCTAGGCCTCACTTAACATAATTGGGTTATTTCTAAGTAAAAGTAAATAGATCACACTGTATCTGGTCTAAGGCAGACACTTAGCATGCTTATGCTAGCCTAGTCATCTTGATTTCTGATCTTTTAAATTAGCATCATAGTCTGGTATAATTTATATTTTAAGGCAATCTTTCCTTGACCATATAATTTTAAAGAAGTTGCATTGCAGCATTTCTGGAGACAACCAGGTTAAGGAAGGCTAAAATAGCATATTTTACTATCAAATATCAACATGTTTAAATTTATATAACACTATAAAACACATGCCTCTTTTAACTCATTATATAGTATGTATCAGGCCCTATAGTAGTAAAGAACAGATTTTAATCATTTGGTTAAATAATATTTTTAGAGAAATGTTACTATACTGTACTTAGTTCAAAGGTCATGTACCAAACAAATAAGGGTTTAGAAGAAAATGGCAACCAATTCAAACATTTAATGTAATTTATGTAATAAATTGTTTATCAGGCCTGACTTCTGGTACATCATGTAGGTGGAGTATGTATGTTTGTATGTGAAATTGCATCTCTTAATAACATATTCAGTTCAGGTAAGATATTTATTACAAAAATGTTTTCCCTCCACCTCTCTAGGACTGTGGTAGAAAGCACACAATCCTATCACCATGATGGCAATAAAATGAAATAGATATTATTTAAGATGTTCATTTCAGCGAAATCACTCTCTGTGCTCTTTTATCTAACTCAGATCAACATCAGCAGTTCTATAAGTCTTTTAGCTGTTTTATATCAAGTAGCCACTACATAAAACACTAGAATTATAAAGGACCATTTAGGCCATTCTCAGAAATCAGAGGATCAAACATTTCACAGATAATAGAACAAATCCATGCTCAGTCAAATTGACTGGACTTGCCTAGCAAATTCAAGCAACTTTGTCAAATGCCTAGAACTTGGGGGGAAATAAATTAACTCAGTGACCATTCAGAGTTATGGTGGTGCTGAAAAAATGGACTTATGACTGATCCTCAAAGTTCCAGACTTTGCAGCATCCCTTCAGTCATGTGATATGATTTGAGTGCTTGAATGTCCAGTTTGTGATTACGTCACAGCAATCCATGTCACATTATCACCATTTGTGACTTTCCCTGCCAGCTTCCCACAAGCAAAGTCAATGCTGCCACTGCTTTTTCTTCCAAAGAACCAACTACAGAGGACAACATCCCAGGGACCTGCCTGCAGCACTCTAGGTCTCCCGTGGCTTCAGACAATCCTCCTCCCATCACCTCTCCCAACCCAACCAAGGCCTCCACCAGCCTTCTGTGGCCCCACCATGCTCCCTACTCCCTGGGACTCTCACTTCTTACAACTTAACAAATGTACCCTGAAGTTACAACAGCAACTGGGACTTCCCAGATTGCCATCGCTAAACAATTTGGTCATGTGACATTGTACTTTATGACTACATTGCTTAGTAATAGTAATCCCAGTCCCATCATAACCTGAGGCCTATCCGTACCATAGCGCTAAAGAGGTGGATAGAACATACTACTTCTTGAAAATAGGTCTTTATTTTATGTGACTTGGACACACACAGCAGGAATAAACAACAAAAAGAAATACAGCCTCTGGATTCACATTGGAGGACTAGGAGTAAGAGATGAGGAACACTATGGCTGCCAAATACCTTCAAGAGTTAGTATTGATTATCATCCTCTCTGGATCTTTCCAGCAGAACCTTTTACAACTTGATCACATGCAAAGATGCAGTGTGTCAAAATAAGACCGCACATTGTTTATTTTATATTCATATTTAGCTTCATTTACTAAAACTTCTATTTACATGATTTTATTAATCCTTTGTATCTGTACATGCTCCAGTTTAATAAATCACAGGATTTGGGGAACAATGTGCAATAGTTATTTCCCTAGGTAATTATAATTATATGAAAATATTACCAAAACAGAAGAGATACTTTTCACTATTTACAATGGAATGGTAATAGGTATTCTCATCAATTATTCACCTGGAGATACTTCCACAGACCAATTAATCATAGAGATAAATAGTGAAATATTCACTCAAAAAACACACATTAATCTAGATATGTAAAATAAACCATTACACTGTGATCCCTCTCTTGCTCTGTACAAAATTTTACTTAGCAGCTTCAATTAATCTCCATTCAAGGTTTTTTTTTTTAAAAAAAAAATTCAAAGTACTGTTTATCATTGCCCAACAAAACTGACCAGAGATGTTAATCACCTTTTTTCTCTTCTTCATTATTCATTCATGCCTTCATTTAGGAAAAGGCAAGAATATCCTACATTGGAAGCACATGAATCTTCTTTGGCTCCTGCTCCATTTATACCTCATATTTGGGCTATACTTGTACAGTGGAATCTACTGGGAATATATTTCATGAGATGAATATATACAGCTCATTCCCCTGAGACAAAGCTATACAAGTGTATATGCATATCTGTGTGCCTATACACACACACACCATTATAGAAAAATAAAAGGGGGGGTAGTTCCTTTATGGGAGCAGACCTCTAGGTAAGGAACAGAAAGGGTCATGCAGAAAGCCTTCAAGCTTTAATAAAACTACACAACTGTGAAAAACGTGAAAAGTCTGGTCATGAATAAATATGGCAAAAAAGCTGGTTCAAAGTGCTGTCTGTTGTAGAATAAGACAAGGGGCTTGCAGGTAAAAAAAAATCCCAAGTTGTTAGAAACAGTAACAAATAGAGGGAAAGAGAAGACTTTTTCTTTGAACTCCATGAGGAAAATTTAGTTTTCCATAGATTCAGCTAATGTGTCCCCTGTATTTTACCTTTAGTGCAAAGAGCTCAAAAAGTGCATACATTTGTCCATCCTTTCCAGTCCAAAGAACATCTGGTTAGAGAGCCTTTCCTGTACAATCATAAATACGCAAGCTGTGCCGATCTTTTGCGATGACTGGGGTTGGCAAAAATGCAGTCCTTGCTCCATTTAGACTTAGGAAAGAAACATCCTTACAAAAGAATAATTCAACTCTGTTTTTGTTAGCATCCCTCAGGTAAATGAAATGTCCCCAAGTGATGGCAGCAGCAACAGTAGGCAAAGTAGGGGTGGCTGGGGATTAAAATGTTCTTTTTCAGACCGACCGTCTTCTTAGCTTCAACTGTGTCTCTCTCATCTCGCAGATTTTTGTTCATCTCCCTGCTCCAGAGGCAAGCCAGACAAATGCACGTGTTATGGCTACAGTGTTCACATTTGCCCTTTTCCTACATCCAAACTTAAATAATTTTCATGCTAGTGACTTATGGTCATAGCATCACCTAGTCATTGCTGAAGTCATATAAGCCCTGTTCAGCTTACTGTTACTTTGGCAAAATGATGGTTGCACAGGTCCGAGTGGCTGCGATCACTAGTGCAGAAATGACCTGACTTACCTACTGGTATGATATACTACAGCACCTGTAATTTCTGGTCACATTTTAAAGGTACCAGATTGTAGATTTCATAACCATTGATAGTCATTAACAACTCTTAAACTGAGTTTGCCTCACCTGCTCACCTATGGTTTACTTATCAAGGATTTGTGTGATTAATCAAATGTTCTGGATTTGCATAATGCACTGAACTATAAGTTGTATGAATACAGCCTCAGCAGACAGAGAGGACAAGGAAGGTAAGAAACTATTCTTTGTACAATCACAAATGCTAGTTCAATCATTTCTTTGGCACCTGGATTGCATTTCATTTATTTTGGAGACCAGTTGTTTATGTCATGTAGCCATCATGTGGAATCGACCCAATGTCAACTAATCAAAAAGTTTCTGAGTTCCATTTTTCCATTTTGGCAATGATCCAACAAATATTACATCATAGTTAACTCTTGGCCATCCAAATATTTAACTATACAAATTATTAGTACAATCTAACACATTGTGTTATTATTCTGAATACAAAATAGCTTATTTTGGGCACGCCACTGTAAAAGGAAGGGAAAAAAAACTAGTCACGCAACTCAAGATTAATTTGTTTGTCTGCATGACATCATTCTGTTTCTTCTGTACAGCATGATCAAAATAAATCTTGAGTAATTGTTATCTGTAAAGGAGGCCAATAACTCTAACAGCTAATTCCACTGTAGGCCTCTCAACACTTTTAAAGAACTGTTTTCTCTTAACTGTGTGTTAAATACATATTGTTCCTTTCCATGGAATTGTATCTCCAAATATAAAGACTGGGATATCACAGGCATTTGGGGAGAATTAATCCCAGGTAGAGGAAGAGACGCTTTCCTTCCCCCCCCCCCCCCCATAATTCAGTCACAACCTTCCAATAGCAAAAGTCCATTTCCCTTCTTCTTTTTAATTTTTTCTTTTAATCTTCTACCATCATGTAACATACCTAGGGGTTCCCTAAAGCAGGGGGCCCCAATCCCTGGACTGCAGCCCACTGCTGGGCTGTGACCCGTTCAGAACCAGGCTGCAGAAACAGTGGATGAGCATGCATGCATGCGTAGCTCCACTTGCACACTTGCAGCTCCATTTGTGCGAGTGGCGGGTGCAGGAGCCGTGCGTGCATGCACGCGCGCCCGCAGCTGGCACGGAACCATTCCCTCTCTCCCCTCCCCCACCTGTCCGCAAAGCCAGAAGGTTGGAGATGGCTGCCCTAAAGAGATCCACTTTCTGTAGCTGCTTTATTCGAGTATTTTCCAAGGAACTGGACAGACACTCACTCTTCCAAACACTTTTTTTCAGATCCCTTTCCTACCTGAGGAGCTCCAATTGACGCAAGAGGCTTTGTTTTTCTTTCTGCATATTCTTAGAAGCTTGAAATATATCTCTGGGATAGAAGAACAAAAAAGGATTTCATATACGCAAACCTGTATTTTATTCTTTTGCAAACATTAATATTGGCTAAAACTGAGCAGTCCTACACCTGCTGCCAGTAACTGTATATGGAGGATGACCTACTCTAAGTTAATTAACACTAAGTCTCCCTACTTGTTCACATGCTGCACAATGGCATAATGTTGCTTGTGTGTTTTTGGCTTAATTCTATCATGGTAATTTGTCAGCTGTAATTTATGATTTAATATGAAGTGCAAACCCACCCATTTTGGTTTGCTGAACATGATTAAAACAAACAATGGCTAAGCACATGATATGAACCCGGACTATTTGTTAATAGCCTATTCTTATCACAGAGTTATAGCCAAAGCTATTTACCTAGTTGCCTTTTTTTCCGAAATGCAGCAAAGGTCAACATTCATGTATCCTTCTAACCCCCACCTTTTCCCCTCCAGTGCTTGCATGTATGCACAAGGTATAATTTGGCCCTAAGGATATAAGTTAAGTGACATACTGGGAGTCCTCCACATACAATATTCATTTAGCAAGTGTTTGACATTACAAAGGCCCTGAAAAAAGTGATTTACGACTGGTCCTCACACTTATGACCAGCGCAGCATCCCACAGACATATGACCATCATTTGTGACTTCCCAGCTGACTACCGACAAGCAAAGTCAATGAAGGAAGCCAGATTTGGTTAACAGCCATATGATTCACTTAATGACTGCAGTAATTTGCTTAACAACTATAGCAAAAAAAAGGTCATAAAATTGGGCACTACTTTCTTAACAACAAACTTGTTTAGCAGTGAAATTCTGTTCCCGATTGTGGTTGTAAGTTTATGGATTATCTGTATATGTTTATCTGAGCACCCCAAAGCAGCTTTTTAGGTAGTTTTATTTTTGAAACAGCCATCTTATCTAAAGCATTGTGTTTATGGATACTGAGTAGTTATTGTTTCTCAACAATCACCAACTTTGACCCTTCAAATACGTTTCTAGTTCAACTCCAATAATCCCTGACAACATAGGCATTTGGGATTTAAGGCTCCGTGTGTTTGAAGCAGACCGCATCAGAGAAAACTGCAAAAAATTGTTGCAGAGAGAACAGGGCCATTCTCTTAGCTCTATTTACCTTGGAAAGCAGTTTTGATCAATTAAGTACTAACAAATAGATTATTTACCACTTCATAACGTACAGTAACCGGCTACTTGACTGGCAACAATGATTCTCAAATGATATATTTTTCTAAACATTAAAGATTTCCGTGGAGATAATGATAATACTTGTTTTGTTCCAGGATTGTCATGCCCTGTAGGTTTTGACAAAAGAAGGCTTTATATTTAAATGCCGAGGTGTTTGTTACCCAAGCTAATTCCCTCATGAAGCTTCTAGAAAACGTAAATGGAAAAAGACTTCCATTACTAGTTTATCTCAGGGAAAGGAAAGGTATTTATGCCTTCTGTGTACTTGAGATTTATAAAGATTGCAGCTGAGTAGGGAAAACGAAATAGCAGAAGATATTCATCCTTAAAGAGTTATCAATGTGCAGCAGCCACACACAATAGCATTGCTTTTCTAATATTTCCATTCTAACTAGGTGATACCATTCTACATCTGCTGTGGCACCTGGTCATACCTGTTCTTCTGTTCCTGTTCTACCTGGGCTTCTTTCTGCAATGCTTGCAACTGACTTTGGGCTACTTCCAGTTCCCATTTGGTCCTCTCCAGCTGATCCAGGAGATTTTCACTCAGAATTTGTAATCTCTCATTTTGTATACGCATTTCTAGCTGCTCAGAGTGCTGGCATTGTAACTGATGTTCCAACTAAATATAGACATTGATAAAACAAAATAAATATAGTTGGAGAACCAAGAACTCTGAATGAAATCTAGGACTGCAATAAGAACAATATCTAATATTGTTATGGTTTTATCCTAAGAGTATGTTTTTTTAATTTAAATTAGATTTTTTAAAATTAATTTAAATTTCATATAACAATACTACAACCAATTTTGGTCACCATACTACAAAAAAGATGTTGAAACCTTGGAAAAAGTTCAGAGAAGAGCAACTAAAATGATCAGAGGCCTGGAGACTAAAACATATGAAGAATGGCTGCAGGACTTAGGTTTGGCTAGTCTAAAGAAAAGAAGAAACAGGGGCAACATGATAGCAGTATTCCAGTATTTGAGGGGCTGCCACAAAGAAAAGGGTGTCAAACTATTCTCCAAAGCACCAGAGGGCAGGACAAGAAACAATGGTTAGAAACTGACCAAAGAGAGAAGCAACCTGGAATTAAGGAGAAACTTCCCAACAGTAAGGACAGTTAACCAGTGGAACAGCTTGCCTTCAGAAATCGTGGGCGCTCCATCACTGGAGGTTTTTAGCAAGAGGCTAGACAGTCACTTGTCTGAAATAGTATAGGTTCTATACTTCTAGCTTGACTAGAAGACCTCCAAGGTCCCTTCAAGCTTCTATTCTATTCTATTCTATTCTATTCTATTCTATTCTATTCTATTCTATTCTATTCTATTCTATTCTATTCTATTCTATTCTTCTAATATGGATAGAATAATTATCCAAACTCCATTTTCAAATTCTCAATTGTGTTCCTCCAAGAATAATAACCATGCAATTGTGACATGAATAAACATGGTATGAGTCAAGAAGAACTGGTCGGGTTTTGAGTTAAAGTTTAAATTTGTGGTATATAAAATTATGTGTTAATATGTAGAGAGATGTATATTTAGAACTTTAAATATGATAAGGAACGAATTACTAGGATTATGTATACTGGAACGTCATGTCATGTCCCTTTTTGTTTTAATTGTTTTGTCAATAAAAAATTTAAAAAAAAATAAAATAAAATAAACAGTGGCCCTTCTTACTTTGGTGGTGATTAGTGTACCAGACCAGAGTGAAATATGAATGGAGCTGAAATCCTGCCAAAGCCCTGGGCCTGGAAGTTAAAGGAAGATAGCAGATACTATTCAAAGGCAGTTGTGGCAGGCCTTGCAGATTAAGATAAGATTCCAGAAGAAACTTGGCCTACAGTCATAGATTCCTACGTCAGGAATTTTATGAAGTTTGTTATATCAATATTACGCAATTGGCTCTCAATCAGGCAGCTGTTACTTAAACCAAACCGGTATAGTTAGACGTAATCATAGACACATCCACCCCAAATACAAGGAATCTCTGTGAAAATTATTTTGCTCGCCACATCATAAGATATACATTTCTTTACAGAAGTGGCAGGCTAGGCTACATCCCTCTTCAAATGGGCAGTTTAAACTTGTATCTTTCCTTAAATAGAACGTGGCTTTGTCCACTTTAGATCTGATATTATCCATGACAGTCATCAGAAAGGTATTCAGATAGAAATGATTCCATCCATCCATCCATACTGGCTTTGCAAACAAGATCCTTTCAAAGCCTATCATATTTATTCCTCCAGTATTACTATTCCACATCCTCCCAACATTTAGCAAAGGATTCTGGAAATTCTACTCCAGTATATTTAGGGAGCACTAGACTGGGCAAGAATAGTTTATAGTAAAGATTGTTACCCCTTTACTGAATGATAACTTTGGCTGTAATTCAGAAAGGATGAGAAGCAGGCCTCGGTCACCTTTTTCTGCCGGTAAAGAATTTTATCAAATTCTTGCTCTTTGTTCTGCAACTTTTTCTGAAACATGTTGTTTTTTTCAAGCCTTGTTGACTCCTGCAAAAAAAAGGCAGAGGAACAGGTTTCATTTTATCTTTCTTCCTCCATAAAATCATCCCCAGCACTTGCCAAGCATCATAGGAGTAATCAAGGATTAGGATTGTGTACAGCTCAGGAGTTTACCTGCTGGAACAGCCGCTCCCTTTCAGCTTTAATTTGTTGTTCCATTTCCTCATAGAGACACCTGATTTCTCTTTCATGGTCGGTCTCTCTTCTAAAAGAATAGAACAGGAAGAAGGAGATGTGGAAAAAGTGTATACCGGTGTTTTTCAAACTTGGCAAAAATGCTGGCTGGAGAAATCTGGCAGCAGAAATTCACACATATTAAAGTTGCCAGGTCTGAAAAACATCAGTATGTAAAATAAACAAAAATGAAAACAAAGTAAGAGAAGGGAAGAAATCTGTTCTTTAAAGCAAAATAAACACATTTCACTTCACCACACATGATACAGCCTATTGTTTTTCACTTACTAAGTTATGGAACTCTCACAGCACTACAAAACATCAGAATGTTTAAATAGTTGCTGCCCGTAAAAAGAAAAATTCCTAAAAAAAGAAAAACTCAGAATTCTTAATAATAGACTTGATGTGTTGTTTCTGGACAATGAATGTTTGCTGTAAGTTTTACAATCCTAGCTGCAATCTTTAGCAGCTTTAGCTAGGCCTTAGAAAAATTATTCCAGTAAGACTCATTGTTGTAAAAGAGCAAAGAGTGCCAAATGACTATAAAATAAAAAAATTAGATTAATTAGCGTTTTATAATAAATTGACACAATGACTGTTTGATTTAAATTACTGACATTTTATCTATTTTGTTTTATTCACAAACAGTTGGCTAATCTTGGCATCATTGTTAAACCCCATATTTTACATCAACTATGCCTCCATGCTGCGCATGAATATTTTATTATCAACAATATTTAGCAGAAAGGATGCCTTCTAATTAAAACTTTAAGCACTATTATACTTGCACAACATAATCTTTCCTCTAGATTCCCACATTTTGCTAGTCCCTGTTGATGGCCCAAGGGAAGCCAATGCCCCAGCCTTCATCTTAATAAAAGAGGCATTAAGACATTCTGGGAACTGCTTACCGTTTTAATACCAGTTCCATGGATTCCTTCTCATGGTGCAGATCCTTGATGTATGAGGAAATATGGAAAAGAAACTCTTCAAAATTGGCTAGGAGTTCTGGTGCTTCTTTTTGGATTCGAATCCAAAGCTCTTGAATTTCACCCTGACTGGAATAAAGACAGTGGAGATTCTAGCAAAATGCTTTTAAAGACACTACTTTAAATTCTACTCCTACCCACACTTCCTTATGATAAGAACAAGCAGGCCACAAGAGGAAAGACATAAATCTTAAAATCTGAGCTTTTTTCTGGACATAGGTTTGCACATTTTCCCCCTTGGTTGACTCTTATTTCATTACCAACCCAAATTTTCTCAGTTTTACTATTCTTCCTTCACTAACGTAGTCAGTGGCCTAGCAACTCTTCTCATAGTAACTCCTGGCATTTAGGAGTTACTATGAGAACAGTTAGCAACATTCTCCCATGGGTATAAGAAATCCATGGCGCACCAGATTTATTATAGCTCTCAGAGTTTCTAGTCAATGTGACCACTGGTAAGAGATACCAGGAGCTGTAATTCAGCATCATCTGGAGAGGCAATAGTTATAGCTCAATAATTATATTGCAAAGAGTCTGCCAAACGAAATTCAAGGCAACCTTTTTTGAACATAAGGCTGTTGAATGGAACAACTATCATAATCGTACTCTAATGGAAAAAAAACAGATGGGAGAGCCCAGCTTACTCTTCAAAGACTTGGGAGGCTTCAAGCTGCTCCAGCACAGAGCAAAACTGTTTTTCCCCTTCATCTGTCTGGTCCAATTCCTCCGACCAGCTAGACTCAAAGGTCTCCTCGTGACCGGCATTTTCAGAGTTCTGGTGTGGCTCATTTCCTATGAACTTCCCTGTGAAAACAAATGAAAGAACACACGATCACTTTACAGCCCACAAAAAAGAAATTTGCTTTGGGTTTCTCTTGATCTGGGCTAGTTTGTAAAGAGAGAGAAGTACAATATTGATTGGAAACCCACCGAAGTTACCAACTTAGGGACAAAATCCCAGTCTGCAAAATCAGAACCTACATAACTAATTGGGGAAGCAAAATTAGGGACCCTTCATGAAACAGCAAATCCATAACCCCATTTTAACTTAGGAAGTGCCTTTCTGAATCACATTAGCTACACCAGTTGTCATAAGAACAATAGGACTAGCCATCCTTAGCCCACCCATATAATTTATGCAGTGAACTGTGGCTACTCTGTGGCAAGGAAAGGTAATTTTGCTTATCACCCTTCACTCACTTAGTACTCATAAGTATGTTTGAGTATAAACCTCAGACTCCCTAGCCATCAAGACTTTTCACCGTGCTGGCTGCAAATTCTGAAACTATAGTCAATCATACTTGGAGGGCAGCTTCGCGGTCTTAAAAGTATTCTCTGCTATTCCATAAAAGTGGCCGTTCATTCAGCAACTATTTGAAATTAAGATAGTGCTGAACGAAGGGACTTACCACTGGTGTCCACAGTCGCGGCCATTACGGAGCCCCTACAGTCATGTGACTGCAATCTGGGCTCTTAGCAACCTCGTGCGATCACCATTTGCAATCTTCCCTGCCAGTTTCCTGAGAAAGTCAACAGGAAAGCTGGATGAGGTCACAAACCATTTTGTTTCTCTAAACAGTGCACCACTTCCCCTCCCCAGCCCAGTTAGAGGGAAGGCTTTTGGGTAGTGCAGAGACGTGTTGTATGGAAAAACAAAGTTGGGACAGTCTCACTTCTCTGTGCAGTGTGCTGCCTTTCCCCTCCCACACACACACAGAGAAAGATTTTCTAATTTTCTAGTGCACGGTGGGGAGGGGAGCCACCACACTGGGACAGAGCAAGGATGCTCAGATCACCCAGCCAGCCAGTTCTGTGTACAGAGGGGAGCTATCTGTCCTCCTTCAGCAGGCAGCTCTTTTGCTCTATTCATTTAACAACCCGTTGCAACTGCACCTGGGAGGACAGAGACAACGGTCACTGAGCGAGGCGATCGTGTGGGCATCTCACTTAAGGACTGCAACAAGTTACATCTGTAATGGGCAGGCTCCATTACAGTTGTTAACTCAAGGACTACCTGTATTATGTTTGTTGTTTCCAGGACTAAACCCTGGCAGCCCTAACACAGGCTATGGTTGAATTCTGGATTTTACAGAAGGCATTTGGACTTACATATATTCTTACACATATTAATAAGTCAAAGTTTTTAATACTACAGTTTGTGAAATAACATAACGCTAACCTGATTTGCACATCATGCTAGGGCAAATGTACAGTTATTATAGCATAGTGTTATATATACCATAATAACTGTTATATGTGAACTAGTGCCAAAACATGGAAGTTGCTACCAGGGAGAGTGTATTGCTTTTTTCCATCACTTCTCTCCCTTTGAATGGCCTTGCTTGACAGAGCACAGCGATGCCTTCCCTCTGCCACATTCCCCCCCCCTGCCCCAGTATTTTAATTAGTGTGATTTGTCTGATTTGTGTAGGCTGACTGTGGCATTCCACTTATGATTGGCTTGGCAAACAATCGATTTCAGAGTTTTTCTTGGGAATCTGCCAGCTAGGTTAGAAGGCGGGGTGTCAAGCGTGGGCTTAGCTTAAAATCCTTGCACAATTGCAAAAAGCATAAACCTTCCACACCCAAGATCCATGAAACCGTATGCGGTTATTCCCAAGGGAAGGTGAGCAGTCTGGGGAGATTCTTGTAATTTAGGTAGAAACCAATAAAGTTACTTCCTTTAGCTATCTTCAAGTGGCTCTGGCTGCTTGCAGCTGACAGTTTTTTAATACATTGGTTCTGATTCCTTGATAGGGAGTCAACAATTAACTATTCTGGGATTAGACCAGAACTACCAATATTCTATAATGTGATTACTGCCTCCTAAATGTGACCTGAACTGTCTACTCTTGGAACTCCAAGATATTTACACTTTGGACAAAGTATACTGTATCGTGTCTCTACTCTAATTTATCAAATCAGAATCTCTCATTGCTTTCCTACCCAATTCCCTAGGTCTGATCTATTTGATCAGCCCTCTTCATATCAGAGTCTTAGAACTGTTGACTTGTTGTTTTCTTAAACAGAGGAACTTGGCTTCTTATAATTGGCACAAGGGTATTTTAGTAACCTCCCCTCCTTCAGAGCCAGCTCCTACCAAATAGATCTTTTTTTACAGTATCTACTTTGCCTGCATGGGGGCTTCATGCTTGCTGGGTATTTTAGCAGTAAATGAGAAGTGTTGGAAGACTTCTTAATAGGACAGCAGGTTGTTACAAGGAAACCTCATCCCAACATTAAGAGGAAGTACATTCCATACTCTGTTCTGCAAACATGAAGTTTGGTGTGGCTTCCAGATGTTCACCACTCTGTGGAATAGACATGGGGCAAAACAATTCCTGAAGGTACACCAACATTTGTGAGCAGTGTTTGTTTTGCTAAACAAGCTAAACAAATAAAATGGCAAAGATAAATAGTTCACCAGCTTGGATCTACTCCTCGTCTACCCATTCCTCTTTGCTTCTGAGTAGAACTACATTTTCTGTTCTCCATATACCGTATATATCACTGGCTTGCCTGCTACAGTAGACTCAATTCTCAGTATGGTTCCATTCTCAGCTCTCAGCTGTCTGAGAAGAGAAATATGGATTTCCTGTCTACTGTTTGCCTTCAACAGGAGCAGCCCTCGTTGTTCCACATTTACTCATCATCACCTTCCAAACTCTCCTTCTTCTTCTCTTACCTAGGCCTACACTGAATTCTACTGGGGTGAGGTAACCATTATTGTCTTGCACCAGACTGTCAAAAACAGCCTCCAGCTGTTCAGTAGTGAATGGTAGCTCACTTTGTAATCGCTGTGGAAAAGAAGAAAAAGGAAGATCAGATTCAGGATTTAGATCTATAATTAGCAGAACAAATAGAAAATATTATTCTCACTTCATTTCCCCAATTGCCTCCACTGAACTAAGCTTGCCAAGTATTTGTGCAAGGACAGATGAAAGAATTTTATCTGACCATTTGCACACTTGCATTTTCTGCTCTAAACGCATATTAATGGGTAGAATTTCTGGTTAAGGTGGTCTTAACCACCATAGTCTGTTCCTGTAATTAGCATTTACTATGATAAACCAAAGAATGAAGTCCTGAATAACCTCACCCATATGCAACTCATGGAAAAATTGGCATGCATCATATATAAACAATGAACATTCTACTTTGCCAGGAGAGAAACTGGGTATTCTCTAAGTGCACATTCTGTTCATCTTGGCTGCAATTCATAGCCACCACCGTTCAACTGGTATTTCTTCTGTGCCTTTAAAAGCAGTCTGCAAATTATGCAAATATATGCAAATTAAGGGACAGGATAAGCTTTTTTCAGCTTTACAGGATATCCCTTCAATAGCCTTCACGGGTTTTATTTCTTCATAGCACAGAAAGACACAGAAAGATGGCCACTGAAGCCAAAGTTGCATTTCTGCTTATAAAAGGCATCAAAACACTTGTACTTTCTTTTGGATTTATGCTGAAGACTTCCTCGCCTTTGGGGTGAATTCCTTAGTAGATGCAGGTGCAGGTGTGAATTAGACACAATATCTGTGCCTATCCTTGAAGAATCTGTGTGAAGAATTTTGCTGCCTAGTGGTAAAATAGTATTTTTTTTATTTTAAATTCTGTTTAGATTCTCTTATAAAAAGTTAACTGTAGTAGATGACACTCAAAGTCTATATTACTCTATAAAATATGAATTTTCCCTTGCTTTCTTCTAATCCTCAAAGTACTATCAAGAACAAGTGAAACCCTTTGGCAGGGTGCAGGAGCAAAGCCAAAGTTTTCAGGATTTCAGCTTCATTTCTGCACTCCACCAAAGAAGTTCAGCTCTTCTCCATGCAGGGAAAGGAACTCCTTCGGTAGGATGCAGGAACAAATCCGAAATCTTCAGGATTTCAGTTCCATTTCTGCATCCTGCCAAAGGATTTCAGCTCCCCCGGGGAAGCAACTCTTTCAACCAGCTCCCAGAGATGAGGGGCGAATCCTCTCAATAGGGGGCAGCAGCTTTCCCATTGATGTTTCTGAGGAAATCAGCAAAGAAGACTGCAAATGTGAATAGGTTGTCAAGCACCCAGGTCACGATCATATGACCGCAGGGGTGGTGATGCAACATTTTGCCATAGCCAAAAGTTCCTTTATGGCTTGTAAAGCACCCTTTTCAGCGGCCATTGTCATTCCAGACCATCATTAATAGAAAGAGTTGTAACTTGGGGATTACCTGTATATTTTCAAAGTTTGCTATTGTATACAGAATGATCATATTCATTACTTTTTAATAAATAACTTAGTACCAGGAACTTTTTTCACATTAATTGTGGGATATCACAAGTTGAGTTGTGGAAGATTCGTTGCAATAGAACATTTTTTATCCTTTCTTGAACGTACATACATTCAGATCTGCCTCCAAAGATAGGCTATATGGTAATTTGTTGCACATTTCATGACTTGAATTCATGTATTATAAGTGTATACATAAACTTGGATGGGACGATGAGCAGAAAAATTAAATGCTGAACATATAAGCTGCGACAGTCCTTTTATTAAAAATGCTCATTAATAACTCTTGATAAACAAACATTCTGCCGTCATATAAGCTAATTAACATATAAATGTCTGGTTGACATTTCAGATTAAGCCACAATGTGCTGTTTATTTTTTATTTTTAATAGGAGCTATAAACCTGCCCAACATGTCTTAGTTGTTATATGCAAAACAATCCAAAATAGCTCAAGAAACTATGGCTAAATAAATCTGGCTTAACATTGTCACTAGTCATATTATTTTAAGGCATTCTAATTTATTAATTGAATGTCCTGATGTTTTGCACTTTGACGCTTTCAAGTTGTAGTTTCTCACTGAAATTACCTTACTCAAAAATTGTTCATAGCATAGTATGCTGGGAATTGAAATTTTATATTGTTTTTTATATTACCATCTTTTAAATATGTGTCCATTTATTCTTATGTATACAAACTACTGCTCTGTGTTTTTAATGAAATGAAGCATAGTCTTTGTCTGTGTTGTATTTGTTTAAGGACTTTTTCTTATTTTAAAAAAATTGTTTAGGACAAATTCAGCTTGCATGGGAAGTAAGAGCTAATGTGGAAAATGATACAAGATTTACCCATGATAGTAACCCACAAGCTTATATAATCATAACATAAATTAAATTATAATTGATTCATGTCATATATTAAGTCACAAATTTTTTATTGTAAATATAGGTTAGCCAATTAATACTATGGCAGATAGTGACTATGGCAGATGGTTATGTTCAGCATTTTTGAATGGAACAATGAATAAAAAGTTTGAAATACACTGAACACACCAATGTTGGAGAAAAGCTGAAAAGCTGATGGTCAAGAACCAAGAGAGATGAGAAAATGATGGTTGGAATATTGACAGCCTTGTAAGGCTTAATAATAACAAGACAAACCATTGGTGAACAATAAAAGGAACCAGTCAGAAAGTGGAAAGCTATATGGATCTTCTTGTGACAATTACCAGCTGATTGAATGAGCAAGAGACCATCACCAGACTAGGCAACATAAACTATCTCTGTATGTTATGAGAAAGGGTAAAGGAAAACACAAAGTGACTGAGATTCTCAGTCATCCAGGTCATGGTTTTCCCAAAGGTGCATATTCAAAAGGCAATTGGAATTTGTTTTTCCTTGAAGTAGTTTCATTTCTCATCCAAGAAACTTCTTCAGTTCTGAAGAAGAAGAAGTAAAGAAGTTTCTTGGATGACAAGCTTTTGGGACAAAATAAAGTACTAAACTGGATTAGCTGAGCAACCAAAAAGTACAGGACATGATATGAACTTCTTTCCAAATGTGAGAACATATAAAAAGGAAAGATAAATATCAAACTGACCGACCAATGACACAAAAGAACCTAAGGCAGCTAAATGATGACAGTTTTCACCATTCCTTTCATACATTTGAGGGCATATGGAAAAACAGAAATGGGAAAAACTAATGTCAATCATGAGTCAATACCAAGCAAACTTCAGCTTTAGTATTACATTTAAACTTCCACATAAAACCATTTTGTGCTGAACCTATAATAATTAAATTATGTTGTTTTATATTTGATGTCGCTCTGATAGTTAGTTTGCTCCAATACTGATTTCAAAAGCTCAGACTTGAATGTTCTGCTTTGTATTTGGAACAGAATCTGTTAAATAAAGTGATATGCTTTGGTTGGATTCACACAATACATCAAACAACAAACAAGCAAACCACATTGTGTCTTGAGAAGCCAACCAGTTTCAGGTCCTTACCTGCATGTCCAGTCTTGTTATGAAGCCCTTCTCCTCCTTGTCACAGAGCCGGAAGAGCTCCTGGGCTTTTTCCAGCATTTCCACTTGCGTGTTTCCCTCACCACTCAAGCAGAGAAGGGGAGAAGGAAATGAAAGGGGGCAAGAGACGCCTTCAGTCATTCCATTTACTTCCTTGTCTTCCCGATGGAGAGTTTTGGAAGGTTCTTTCCCAGATCTGTCCATTGCTTCGCAACCTTTCCACTGGACTGATAAAGCATTTGGGGGGGGAATGAACTTAATTATTATTATTTCCTTAAAATATTGAATGAGAGACTTCCAAACATGTTCTGCAATGAAACTACTAAGAATAATCATTTATTTGACTGAAAAACAGGGAAAGAAAAGTATTATTCACAATAACAGTGAGTTAAATATGCAGTTATCCTGCCAAAATCTTGAAGCAAAACCTAGCTCACATATGCTTTGGAGGAAGTGAAAATTAGTGTTCTTGAACATTGCAGAATAAGTAAATAGTCTATGCTCTATGCATAGAACATGCGATTGTTGGCGCAAGTCTTAAGGTGCAATTGTAATCAAGATGAAATCACTACAGCATTCCATTAGGAGAAAATTGAATAGAAAAGAGACATGCCACTATTCCAGCCTTTAATCTTTGAAAGTCTTTTGTATTATGCCACCACTGATTTAGATTCAAGAAAAGCCAGTTTTTGCTCTCTATGTCTACAATCGATTTCTAAGTTTTTGGAAGCAGCTTATAACTTCAAGTACACATGCTTCCATTAAATGCTTAGAACAGGGCTCTTCAACCTTTTCACTCATTGTACCACTTTTAGGATATCACAATATCCGAGTATCACCAGTCGCCTAGCAAGATGTCAAAAACTTGATGATCAAAAAAAAAAAAAGGAAAAAAGTGATGAAGTACAGGTAGTCCTCGACTTACAACAGTTCGCTTAGTGACTGTTTGAAGTTACAATGGCACTGAAAAAAGTGCCCCCCAAGGCACAGCCGAGCAAGACACCTGCCTGCCCACCCGGCGGCACTCTTCCTCCTATCCGAGGTTTTCATTGTTGTGAGCATTTCTGTTGAGGATTGGCAGTGGGGGTGCGGTGTGTGTGTGTGTGGTTTTTATTCCCCCCATCTGCTGGGTGGTTGCAGCAGGTTTTGGTCACTTCACATGACCCTGGGACACTGTGACCGTCATAAATATGAATCAGTTGCCACGCATCTGAATGTAAATCACAAGACCCTGGAGATGCTGCAACATTCCAGCTGATCCTGGCACTTCTTCTGGGCTCAGCAAAAGCTCAGGATCAGTGCCGAGCTCCAGCTGGAGCCTAGCGCTGATCCTGGCGCTTCCGCTGAGCCCTGAGAGTCCTTCAGCTCCAGCCATCTCTCGCTCAGGCTTGTGCGGTGCTGCCACCGTGTTCAGCTCACTCCCCTCCCCCACTACTTTTCTAGGATGGTCGCGTACCACCTGCCAGGTGCCAATGTACCACAGGTGGTACCCGTACCACTGGTTGAAAAGCCCTGGTTTAGAACACATAAGCATGGATTAAGGCTACAATTCTGATGAGAATAAGTAATACTAAATTCCATGGGATGTACTTCTTGAAAAAAACATGCTAGGAAAAATTCTACTTACATATATGTTACATTGCAGGCTTACTGATGTAGAAGTGTATATTGTATCTTTGTCTACAAATCTTGTACAAAATTTATCCACTGTAAAACAAAAACAGTTAGAAATATCAATACTACATAGCATACCTGAGATACAGTTACTAAATAAATATCAGACTAAAACCTATTTCATTCAAGTACACATGCTCCCACTGAAACAAGAGTATCAGTTTCACAGATATGACTGATAACTTGCTTTCTTGAAAGAACCTTCTTATTTGACCAAACTCTATTAAACCAAGTTTTGGATACCTATCATCCCTGAGTGATAGATATGTGTTGGAAGGATGGAATATAAAACTTTAACCTTTAAGCAACACTTATATTTGGAGAGCTACTCTTAGATTATTTATTTATTTAGTGTATGATGAGAACAAGACAGAAGAGAAGTAAACATATATGTACACACAATCCACGTAATTATATATAAAACCTCTCGGGGCATATGGTATTGGCCTCATAACTGGATGTCCAATGAATATAAAGAAGAGAGATAACAACAGATAAAATACCTTTAAAGACTATGTTGAGATGGCAGAGACCATAAATCCTTTGCTATCAAGTTCACAGAAGCCCTGTGAGTTTTTTGCAACTCTTCAAGAGCTGAAGAATTAATGCAAGTTTTCCTCAAATGGGGCAGGTCTCCTCATTTCCCCCCCAAAAGCCTACAAAGACCAAACATTAATTGTGCAATTAAAACCATGAAAAGAATCCATGCCGCTTGAAAGAAAGATTGAAATAGCGTTACTACAACTGAAGACAAGGAGATACAGGCACGTGTATTATCTGAAATGCTTAATTCTCTTTTTAGTCCATTCGATTTGGTCATAAAGAGTCCTTTGACAGAAAACAGGAAAGACCAGTAAGAAGACGTTTGTATTGTGTGGTATGGTATTGTACCTTCAACAGAAGAGATTAACACTCAAGGGAAAGTAGCAGGATGTATTCAAAGCTATCACAATACTTATTGCGGTTCAGCTGGTTCAGCAAAGCAGAAGTCTAATTTTAAAGAAGTCCTTATTTCTATAATATGCTAAACAAAGGCTGTCTAACTCTTAAGTACCCCTTCCTAAGGATTATTAAAAGCTAAGGATAAATTACCTCAGTGCAGTGTAGCCAAAGGGAAAGGATTACGTTTCACAATGAGGGAAACACAAAACCTTGCTCCAAAACATCCAAACACATTTTGTGAGAGATGCAGAGGAATAAGACCCAGTTTCTGTTTTTTATCCCCGTTACTTTGTACAGCAGTGTTTTATCAGAACTCTAAATTAATTTAAAATTTTCTCTCTTCTTCCAACAGCGATCAGAAGTATGGTGTCTGCAGACAAAATGAGGCTAGACTTCGTCCAAATTATGGGGTTGTTGGTGCTCACAGAGCTTGCTTGTTTACTTGCAGATATTTCATTACCCAATTAGATAACTTCATCAGTGCCAATGAGTGTTGGGCCTGCTGTATATAACCAAACTCAGAGAGCATCAAGAACTCCACAATTCAAGCCTGGGTGAACTATATTCTCTGCTTTTGTCCAGATTGTTAGACAGAGATGGTGGGGTGCTAAGTGTTCACACAAACTCTAAACAAAATGATACAGGTAATATACAGTAGATGCCTGAGTCACACATATATCTGGGTCTGCCCCGGGAGGGAGTTCACTAAAAAGCATGGGATTGGTCTCGTTTATTCCCATGACTCGGAATCAGTTCAATGTATTATGCTTAATAGCTGGAGAAATATTTTGCTAAACATTTAGCATCTTCAAACAAGATATATTATGTCACTTGTAGGTTGTACAGATATTCTGAGGGGGGGGGGAAATGATATGTTAGATAAGAAAAAAGGTGGATACTGGTATTAAGTGAGTAATAATATACCCAGCTCCCCATCAGGAAATTAATAAAATTATTAAGGCAAAATATCTTTCCAGTCACGTTCAAAGCTTAGTATTTCTTCAAACTTAGTACTTGATGGACATATCCGTGCAGTTTTCCGGTGGCAGTAAGAAATTGTTTGTCATTGCCTTGTCTTTAAAAAAAATATATCCCAATCAGGTTTACAGTATAACTCTGAAGTCTCCCCTCAAGCACTAACCAGGAATTGCTTCCAGTTCAGACAAAGTTGGTTGGCTGGTACTACCTACTGAGATGATAAAATTCTGACTTTTATCAAATGCATATTTAAAAATACATCTTTAAATAACAAATGTATTTGCAGGTAGTCCTCGATTTACAATAGTTCGTTTAGTGAACGTTCAAAGTTACAATGGCCCTGAAAAAAGTGACTTATGACCATTTTTCACATTTCCAACCATTGCAGCGTTTCTGTGGTCACATGACTGAAATTCAGAACTTGGCAAAGGACTCATATTTATGACGGTTGCAGGGTCCCAAGGTAATGTGATTACTTTTTGCCACCTTCTGACGAGCAAGTCAATGGGGAAGCCAGATTCATTTAACAACGTTACTAATTTAACAACTGCAGTGATTCACTCAACAAATGTGGCAAGAAAGGTCATAAAATGGGACAAAAATCACTTAACAACTGTCTTGCTTAGCAACATAAATTTTGGGCTCAATTGTGGCCGTACGTTGAGGACTACCTGTATTATTTATCCATAAGACTAATGACCGAGATATTCATGTGTGGACTGGTCTGGTAACAGTACACACAATTTAATTTCAAATATGTGGAGGCTTTTCAGTTGCCTTTGAACATTCGGCATCACCTTCCCTTAACCTGGTGCCCTCCTTATTTAGAATTCAACTTCCACAAATCCAAGCCAGGAAAGCCAACAGCTGGAATGAGTTTGGAAGAACTAGAAGCACAATTTCTCAGGGGCATCTTTCTTATAGGGTTCCAAACTATACCCATTCACCAAATAAAACCCAAGTATAATTAGCTTTTTAAAGTACTGACATTAATTCAAATGCAACAACTCCTTTAAAAGCAGAACATTATCACTGCCTCTTTATTAAAGAGATGGGAATGAAAGCCTAATTATACATTCTCTTAGGTAAAGTATAATTATTACATTTTTAATTAAACTTCGATCCTATGGGTTGTTCAGCAAAAAATTCAGTAAAATTCCCTTTTCCATGAAGCAATTTGTACTAGAAAGAGCCTTGCTATTGACATCACTAAAAGATTGATACTAAAAATAATAATAGCCAAGTTGAGACTGAACACATAGTCCTGAACAACAATCTCACAGCTCATTTTCATAATCACTTTATCCTGTTATAACAGGATCATTATGGTTGCTTCCTCATGCCCTTGTGAACTATGCAAAGAGATATACTGTATGCCTAGCACAAAATCTTTTCAGTGTAGACACCAATATTTGGGAAGAATATTGAGAAATCTACTGGACGTGTTTGTGTTTATATGGATATTTTAACAAAACTATCTTGCTTACTGTGGTCAAAGCAGACAAGACATTTACCTAATGCAATTGCCCTGTCTCAACTGAAGAGTGTTAGGTATATTCTACTATGTTTTCTCATTATATTTATCTTCTTACTTTCTTGAGAAAATAAAAGAGGGGAAGATGGAATAGATGCACAATATCATTGATGGTAATGCCAAGAACTGTTATTGGGAAACATCCCCTGTTTGATTCGCAGGACACATCAGGTTGAAATCTGGTTTGGGCTTATCATGATGTTTGAATGGATTAGCATCAAAGGTGAAGTTAAATCTCTGTAGTTTGTTCAACAAATGATAAATAAAGCAAACTGGCTCAGTGTAGGGCTGGATTACAATTATTCCTGGCAAAATTCTGCAGCCTTTTTTTTCCCCCTAACCTTCCGAGTTTCCTTTGAGTTAAATAGATAAAAATTGGTAGCAAAGTTTTCCATCATTTTGAAATGAAAATATATGAAATCTATAATGTAATTCTTAAAACAGATTCAACATAATTAAGAAAGAATCCATGGCCTTCCCACTTATGCAACTGAATTTAAAAAAATAAAATTTCTCCACCAGCCCTTTGTTTTATTGCTCCATTCAATATGGACTTCTCTTTCCGAATTATAAGTGGCCTCTGGGAATCAAAACTTTTCCCACCCTTAAATTGGAGCAATACCCAAATTCAGTCTAAATAGAACTTTGAATGCTAAGCATTCAAACAGTAGAGCTCATTTAAGCAGTTATTAGATATGCCCAGCAAGACAAAATAACAATTGCTGCACTCTGTTTATGGCCCCTAAAAAGGTTCTAAAAATCCCCCACTCTTTTAATTGGAAGAAGAGACTTTTGGACTAACATTTCGCTCCTTTCTTTCACTATTTGAAATGGACTCTCCATCTTGAACAGTAACTAAACATGCTTAGTTATTTGAAAAGTCAAAAAGATGGGCAGGCATCTTCTTTTGCAAAACTTAAGACTCACTAGAATCTTTGATTTGCCAAAAAGAAAAAAAAAGGATAATAAAAAACATAGCTATAAACTTCTTTCTGCACAGCATTCCTGTCAATTTTACTTTCTCTAACTCTTTGAAATCTCTGAAATCAACTCCAACAAAACAAATTTTCTTTGTGAAAAGTGTGCTGATTGAAAATAGAAACAAGTCCAACCAAACACATTGTATTACTATGTATTTTATATTTAACAATTTTGCACACATTCCTGCAGGAATGCTGATAGTTATGACACTGCCCTGTATCTGCTACTGGGCATGTATTTGTTTTCTTTCCATAAAGTCAGGAGGAAGCCAAAGCTAGCAAAGGCTGTTTCAGAAATGTCAAAGGAGGGTGCTGTTTGTTTTGAAAAGCAGATAGCTCAGGGCAGCAAGCCAAGGGACAGTTGCCCTTGGCCTTCTCCACACCGGCAAAGGGCACGGGGCTTTGGCACAGCAACAGAAATTCCAACACGCTGGAGACCTTCGGTGGCAGGATCATGGGAGAGTTTAATAGCCTTGAATACAGTTCTTCACTTATGGATACCAGAGCAGCCCTCTAAGGTAATATTTACCTAGCAAAAACAAACTTTGACATACAAATGCTGGAAGGAACATTTGATCAGGTGAGAGGG